GGTTTTTCTTTTTTTTTTGGCCCTCTTCTTTGAATTCTTTTCTGTGGAAAAATTTCCCGACAGTCACTGAAAAAAATGGCAGAGTAAAGAGAGCAATTTGAGATCTTGAGTGCCAGATTTGTAAATACAAGAATCTTCTGATCTAGGAAAATAAACTACTAATATTGTAAATAGCTCATTTCAGTCTGGGATCTACACTGGATCAAATATTAAAGAGCAAAAAATAAATTTATTAAGCTTCTCTTTTCCATTGTCATATTCCATATGTCACTCAATGTAGAAAATTTCTTTGTGTTTTGAAGTACTTCATAGAGAACCTTTTAAAAAGAAGACCATGTTTCTTCATAGATTTTTATTAGTAATAAATTTAATTAAGGGGAAAAATAATCACATTAGCTTAATTTAATGTCTCATTGGAAACCTGAGGATTTTTCCTGCTTTCAAGTGGTTTTTAATTATCTGTATTTGAGTATTTCAGAGTCTTTCCAGATCATGTCTATGTTATAATCATTTTTTTTAATTATCTGTATATTATAAAGACCTACAGTTTGTTGTAGGAAAAGCTGAAATATGTTTTTTTTCTGTTTGAGAAGTGTACTATTTCTGATACAGCTCATGAAGAAATACAATTAGCCTAGCAATCCTTCATCTTAATGTTAAACATGACGGAAATAATATTTTCTAAACTATTTTTGAGATACAGAGATAATTCTGTAGAACTGAGATATGGATCAGAGAAGAGTGATTCATTAGTACATGAAATTTACATATAGTTTGATGGGGGTAAATGGAAATGTCATACAAAAACATGGTGGTACATAAAAGACGCAGAAGCAAGTAATGATTTGATGTTTATTAAATGTAGACTCTGCAAGTTTTTATAACCCTTACAAGTTAATTAACTACAGAGGTTCCTAAAGCAGTTAGCACATTTGTTGACTCAGATATCAGATCACATTAGTAAACTCTTATGTACTGCAAGTCTGAAGATGGTTATGAAGGCCATGATTTGTCTGTTCTGCTAGGGTTTCCTGAATTTTATTTATGTTTTCACTTTTTTTTTTTTAAGCAAAGTCTTAAGAAACAGGCTTAGATCTCTTAGAAACAGGGTTGCAGCTGTAGTGCATAAGCAGCCCATTTGGTTTCAGAACTTTCAGCTGGTTCTTGTCTAACTAACAACCATACTGAAGGTGACTAAAAATCATACCTCTTCTATCCTATAAGGAGATTACAAAAAACTTGGTGAAGTAGTTTATCTATTCCATTATGTGGGGAAGATTTCTCCTTGGCTGAGACCTAGGCTATAGAGGGTTTCTTCTTCATCAGCTTTGCCCATATAGGTTAGAAACCAGTAAAAACCACTACCCTGCCAACCTTCTGCTCCAGCTCCAAGCCCCCAAAACTAAAACCCTCCTTACAATACTGATTAACTATTAAAAGAGTGTGTGTGACAAATAGCAAAGAATCATAGACTAGTTCGGGTTGGAAGGGACTTTAAGGATTTTCTACATCCAATGCTTCTGCCGTGGGCAGGGATGCTACCTACTGGACCAGGTTACTCAGAGCCCCATCCAAACTGGCCTTGAACACTTCCAGGGATGGAACATCCATGACTTCTCTGGGAAACCAGTTTCAGTGCCTCACAGCACATATCTACTGGAGTTTATCACGTGCTTTGACATCTTTGGGGGTGGTTGGGGAGAGAGAAGAAGAAGACCACCTCATGCTCTGAGGAAACCCGGGGAGAAACAACAGATTCTCTCTCTAATAATAGAGAGGACTCATTTCCTTCTTTCTTTATACTGACTCCATCAGAGCCCTTTCACAGTGAGATTAGAGTACTTCCATGTAATTTGTTATACAGTATTTAGCAAATAATTTAGCAAGACTCAAAAGTGATTATACAGAAACACATGTGAAAAAGAGAGGCAAATACACCACCCGTAGTAAGACAGGAAGTAAAAGAATGAGAGAACAATACTGAGAAGAAATGTGTAGTATCCAACTAAATTTTGGACAAAAATCAAACACAGATTGGTACTTTTTCTTTATTTGCAATGTATTGTGACTGAAATTGTGTCTCTGATTAAGTATTTACCTCTGAGTGCTAAAAAGTCTCTTGTTACTTGACAGAATCAACTGAAAAACAGACTTGTGATCACAGACATTGTCACCTGACATCTGAATCATCCACCTCAATCTCATTCCTGTTTCTCTTTTTTTTTTATTTGTGATTATAGAACTACAAATGATACTATCAAGAGCAGTATTTTAGATGAGTTTGTCTATATCCAAATGAATCATCATGGCTACTAAGTCGGATGTGAAACCAAAAAACCCAAAAACTCATAGTTCAGAAACTGTACCAAGATATATTTGTGGAGTACAACACAGGTGTACAACTTTATACAAGTTAACTAGAACATTACTAATCTTATTTTCCAATAAAGTTATTTTCTTGTAGTATGTGTGCTTCAGTGAATAGAAACATTGTAGCAGGTTTCTATCTGAAATACAAGAGTCATTGCTTCTCCTGAATTTTCTATCTCTTCTTCCTCGCAGACTGCTAATGTCTGTTTAGGTAAAATAAAGAATACTGACAATGTCAACAGGGGAACTTCCCTTGTCTCCAAACAGTCTTTTGCTGAAACATGCAGCACTTCTTGGTCCACAATGCATAGTTCCAAAAGTGTGATTTAGGAAGAGAAAGCAGTATGGACAAAGGTCAGTGAGATGTAAAGCTTAGTAAGACCTAATTAACGAGGTTGGAGAGTTAGGCCAATCAATTCTTACTATCTCTCAAAGGAAAGGTAAAGTGACCGAGACCCCAACCTGCAAATTAAAGGATATACTTTAGATTTTTTTCCTGAGTTTTGTGCTGTTTCTTTCTCTAGCATTAAAATCATCAATAGCAACCAGTTATACGAGCGCAATATTGAATCACTAAACCAATGTAATTTTTTTAATATATGGTTTTATCTGACTTTATTCAGTAAAAGCATTTAAGCCTGTGTTTAAAATTCTTACAGAAGGTGGGTTGTGGAATTTCATCCTATGTAGTTAAGGGATTTACGTTGTAGTAACTAAAAATAAAATAGGGCACTCTGCTTCTAGCCGGCTATGAGTTTATGTTATGTGCATTTTAAAAGAGGTACATCCTCATTTAGATTTATTTCCAGTGAAGCAATATTCATCCATCAAATATGATGAATATTATCAGCATTTGAATTATTTCTAAAACTACAATGATTTTCTTTGATACTTCCACTGGAGCTGACCGTCTTGTCATCCTACAAATATCCACCTCAGTGGTTTATAGAATTTGACAGGAAGCCATGTTGTTCTGCATCTGACATAATGTCCACTTGATTCCTCCTGATGAGTCTTAACAGTTCTGTGTCCAAATTTATACCTAATTAATCAGTTAATGCTGATGTTGAACTTCTGATTGTTTCCTTATGGGTTTCTTTTCCTAAAGTCCCATAGCAATTTCAATTTTCCACAGTTTTAGAAGTAAAACAGATTAAAAAAAAGTTTTCATTTCTGAATCAGATTTATGTGTTGTACTTATTGTGCAGTTTATTTAAAAAGCTGTTGTCTAGACTCCAACTACTGCCGAGTCTTGCTTCTAGAATGTTAAGCTTTGTATGACGCTTACTCAGCATGTGATTCCATCGTTTTGGTATTTTGCTGCCTCCTTGTCAAATATCAGCTTGCCTTAAAAGCACTTTAATGCCTTGAAGATAATGAACAATTTGGCAGCAAAAATATTTTCTGACTGATTTGAAGCCCTTGCATAAACTACTTGGCACCTGACTCATTGAAACCTGTTATACTGGCTATTTTAAAATTAGGATTTATTTCTTTTTGAATTTCAAAATCTCTCCTTGGGAGAGCCATTTAAATGTGAACGTATATTTTCCTCTTTAACAGCAGCTTATGGGCTATAATGGCAGAATATTTTTGCATTTTTATGTTTAGTTTTATTGTAAAGAGCCTTGGGATGCATTTGCATGAAAGTCACTATATGAGCTCATTTTGTATTGCATTGTATTGTGTTGTGACAAGTGCAATAATCTCCAGGTTTCCTATCCATTAAAGAACTAATTTCACAGCTCACTAATTATGTGAATGAGAAGGGGAAATAGGTCCTTTTTCTCTAAGGTATGCTGAGCAGATGGCATAGAATTCATTTTCACCCACTGAATCTAAGGTCCTCTCTTGCTTTAAGGTTCTGAAGCTTCCCTCTGTTTATCAAATAGAACAGGAAAGAGATGTCAGTTTCTTGTACAGCATGACAGTGTGTACTGAGCAACTGTCTCTGTCCTTTGCTAATACAACATCACTTAGCACATACATCTAAACAGTCTATTTATTTAAGATGGAACATGAAAACTATTAAAACGAATGTACATTTCAGTGTAATTCTAATTTTACCTCTGATATATTGAAGATAGTGGTTAGTTTTTTCCTAGGGATTTAAACTGATATACATTAAAACTTTATTAATGAATCGACGGAGTACCTTTGGGACTGTATCCTGTCTGTAGATTCAAAATAAAAAAATTACTTCCTTAGCCTGTACACTTTCCTTCATAGCTAAGGTTTTGCCATCTTTCTAACTGTTTTTTTTTCTGTAACCTTATCAGTGAAAATAACTGGCTTGAATAAAATGTGCATACAATGATTTGTATAGTGCTCTAATGTGCTGCTTTTTTAAAGTAGCATAAGTCGTCAGACACAAGGGTACTCCTGTGATCCTGAAGAGTAGCTATTTTGGCCCTTGTTTCATCATTAAAAAGAGAAAAGCTGAGACTGAAGGTCCTGACACAACTCATGTACTTTACAATAAGGGTACATTTTAGAGTGCTACACAAGGAATCAGATAATTTTCTCCCTTTAACACAGTGAACAGTGCTAATTTGTTGTTTTCTTCTTTCACTGCTGGCCTGTCTCGTGTTTGTTTTGTGTTCATGGTTCTGATGTCATTCTAATTTCAGACGGATGCAGCACTAATGTACGATGCAGTTCATGTGGTGTCAGTGGCTGTCCAGCAGTTCCCACAGATGACTGTCAGTTCACTACAGTGCAATCGCCACAAACCTTGGCGCTTTGGGACCCGCTTTATGAGCCTCATTAAGGAGGTAAGTCGCTAATAAAGCATCCTGCTTCACTGCATTCCTTTCTCCCAATACCAGTTTTCTTTGTTTTCACTCTATTTGGATTCTGCCTTGTTTTTTTGGTTTTTTTCAGTAGATGGGAATCTCTCATCTTGTTACACATAAACGGTTTAACAAGTGAGGCAACATTTTTGTTTGAAAGTGGTTTTCCAGAAGTATTAGCTGGAACAAAGAAGCATGAAAGGGTAAAATAACTGCAATATAAATAAAACTTTTGTTTGTAGATAACTGGGGGAGGTGTGGAATATTTGTGGCATAAAAACCCCAAAAAATGAAACTGCAAACTACAGATTGATTATGAGAAATTCAGCAACTGGCATGAGTTCAAAAGGGTCAAGAATTAATTTTACTTCCTGTTCTAAATTTTTTTTCCCTTCTTTTTCTATGATGAATTAGTATATGTGGTCTTGGTCTCCTAGTATGCTCTTTGGATACTGATGGATAATGATTTAAAGTAAAGCTAGGAGATTTAAGGTGCTGAAGATGAACACTGTAGAGTAGAGTATTCAAGTCTCTTGTACTATAAATAACTCCTAATATGGTATTTCTCATTCTAGAGATGCAAAATATTGTGATAGTTGAATTATTTGCAAAGAAAGGTTTTTAATATTGGTTCCTTTTAAGATGATAATTTTTTTTCCACATTCTCTCCTCTACTTTAGTATAGTTTTAGAACTAGATGGACTTTAAGTTATAAAAAAAAGAAGATATTGTGCTTTATTAAAAGTAAGGAATGAGCTCTGGGAGGCTGGCTCACTGACCTCAATTTTTGCTGTCTCAGTGTTGTTTCAGGGGAATCAGCATCTTGCAAAAGTAAGTCTTTATTTGAATGAAATTTCATGACAGAAAAAATGTAGTCCAGCATTAATGAAACTGATTGAGGCTTGTGAGGGGGAGGCAATGTAGGGAAGCAGAGGGGAAATGCATGCATGAATGATGGAGGAATGAAAACAAAAAAGCCTTTTATCTCATTTAATAGAAGACACTATTGCCTAGCATGGAAAGTGTTTTAAAATTTGTCTGTGAATACTAAAGAAAAGGTTGATTTAATTAGCAAATAGTGAATACAAAGGGCCACGGCAGACCTCGAGGATCAGGACGGTATCTACATTCGATATCGTACTGATGGAAGCCTATTCAACATAAGGCGACTGAAGGCCCACACCAAGACCTTAAACCATCTTGTCTGGGAGCTGCTTTACGCTGATGACGCCGCCCTTGTTGCCCACGCAGAAGCAGCCCTGCAGCGTTTAACATCCTGCTTTGCTGAGGCTGCTGAGCTTTTTGGCTGGAAGTCAGCTTAAAGAAGACGGAAGTTCTCCATCAACCTGCACCTCAGGAAGTCCCCCATCATCCCCACATCACCATTGGCCAATCAGAACTCAAATCAGTCCAGCAGTTTAATTACCTAGGCAGCCTCATCTCCTCGGATGGTAAGATTGACGGAGAGATAGACAACAGATTAGCAAAGGCATATAGTGCTTTCGGAAAGCTTCATAAAAGAGTTTGGCAAAATAAACACCTGAAGAAAAGTACCAAGATCAGTGTTTACAGAGCCATAGTGTTGTCTACTCTCTTATACGGATCTGAATCGTGGGTCATCTACTGCTACCACCTGCGTCTCCTAGAATGCTTCCATCAACGCTGCCTCCGTACAATCCTAAACATCCACTGGTCAGATTATGTGACCAATACATCTGTTCTAGAACAAGCAGCAGTTACAAGTGTTGAGGCCATGTTACTGAGAACACAGCTGCGTTGGGCAGGGCACGTCTCCAGGATGGACCACCGCCTCCCTAAGATCCTGCTTTATGGTGAACTTGCCACCGGCTGCTGCAAGAGAGGAGCCCCGAAGAAAAGATGCAAGGACTCCCTGAAACAACATCTCAGTCTTGGCCATATTGACCGCCATAACTGGTCTACTCTAGCCTCCAATCGGGAAGCCTGGAGACAGACCATCTATAACGCTGCTAATGCTTTTGAGAATGCATGCAGGATCACCCTTGAGGAGAAAAGACAACGCAGAAAGAATCGTGCCTTGCAGAATATACCACCTAAGGAGTCTTTCTGCTGTGCCTTTTGCAACCGGACGTGCCTGTCTCGTATTGGCCTTTTTAGCCACCAACGCACTTGCAACAAACGTGGGTAGAGCCCTTCCCAAATCTTCCTTCTCAAAGCCTAGTCATGAGTGAATACAAAATATTTAAAACAAGAAAAATATTAAAAACAGGTACATTATTTACACAAAATTAATAATTAATGCTTCCATTTTGGCAAAGGTAAAATTTGTTCTTTTTCTGGGGGAAAAAAAGGTAGAGGTATTTATTTATAGGAATTGTTTTTTCTTTCTCCATAGGCCCACTGGGAAGGCCTCACAGGCAGGATAACTTTCAACAAAACCAATGGCTTAAGGACAGATTTTGATTTAGATGTTATCAGCCTCAAGGAAGAAGGTCTTGAAAAGGTGTGTAAGACATTTACCTCCAAAGAGGTGGGAAACAAAACAAAAACCCACCCCCTAAAAACATTTACAATGACATTTCATGTGTTACATAAAACAGTACATCTGTTCTCCACTTGATATCTGGTTTCGAAGTCTTCTAGCAGAAGCTGTTACCTTGTTGTCTGGAAGCTAATGGCATCTTAACTGTGTGCTTCTAGCCACATTCTTAGGTAAGAGCAGACTGGGAAAGAGTGAATAGCTTCACCTGAAGTCAGACATTAATATACTTTGTCTTCAGTCTATATCAAGTTTAGTTTTAGTTGTGATTCCAACCCCACTGCCTGTCCTCATGCATGAACCTGTGGGTGCGTGTATTTGTATTTTCTTCATATCTTTACTGATTCAAGAGGAATTACCTCAAACTAAATGAAATAAAATAGCTTAATTTGGGCTATTTTACGTTTTCAGAGGGAACTTTAGTTCTCTTCCTGGAATACAAAATTTTTATCTGGAAGTGGTACTAAAAAATCAAGAATTGGTAGCCTGACTGGTTTGTCTGTCTTCTGATATTAATTTTTCTTGTACAGAGATGGAGTGAAAGACCAAAGAATTGAGAAATGCTCTTTCTGTGTAGCTTAATATTGTCTATATTTGAACTAAAGGCCATGGGAAGCACATGCAGATATTTGGCCTGCCTACACGACACCGTGATGATCTGAAATCAGATCATCTTCCCTCCAACCACCTTGGCCTGAAGAGGCAATGCAGGAAGCTACATGGTCTCACATTGTTGTGATCAGCAGGCAAAAGTTTTGCAACTTGCATCTACCTTCTAGTTTGTATTTAGATGTGGTGTTCAGTGTTCTGTAAGCACTATGTCTTCCTTCATCTTCAGATAAAGTTCTAACAGCTATTGCCCCAAGGCGATATTGTGGCAACAGATAAAACCAGAAACTAAGAGAAGGGACCATGCTGTAGAGTTGCATTTCCTTTCTTCTATAAATGATTGAATGGAGAAGTTAGCATAAAAACATATTTCTTCAAAACTTCCCCCACCCCCAAGACTAGTTTTGGAATATTAGCTTCCGCTGACTAGGAAAATTTGTAAAAGTTCAGAAAGCATGAGTTTATCTTGAAACACTTACATAGGTAAAAACCTTTGTGTCGTCCAGTGGGAAACCTCTGATTCAAGAACTATGCTATATTTCAAAATGTTCAGCAATACACTCATAGTAGATTCCTCCTATGAAATTTTCCACGAAGGGAGCCCTGGAAATTTAAGGGGGAAAAAAAGTATGTTAGTGATTAGGTTTAAAAAGTAAATTGGCTTTGTGCATAAGTAGAATAAGTGCAATGCAACCTGTCTTCCTTACTGGAAGTAGAAATGAAAGATCTGATGTCATGATAATAGTTAGATAAGTCAGTAGTAGCTGAAGAGCCTGCATATAAACAATAACTGTTGAAAATGAAGAAAGGAAGTCTCTGTATTCTAGGATGGCTTTAGGAATATTAGATGGTATTTGAGAACCACCGCACAACATGAGATTTCTAGAAAATAAAATCTGAAAATATAGAGACAAACAAAAAAAAAAGCCTACAGAAATTAGAAATATGGAAGACAATAAAATTCAACAGGAAATACAGTACTCTAAAACAAATAAGAGAAAAAAGGAACTTGGGAAACAGTTATATTGAAAGATAAGTAAGAGACAAGTAGAAATAGTTGTTAAAGCATATGGATGTTTAAAACCAACAAGCATGTGCTTCAGCTGTTTATCCAGAAATTCATAGAATGGGAAAATACTTTTTCTGTCCTCATGACTCATTTTGACCATTTCATAAACAAATGTGATAATATTAATTTTTCACCAAAAGGTGCAGACAGTCTTTGGAAAGAGCAGTAAGAATCAGTAACTGTATTTGAGCAAAACCGGAGCAGTTCCTGTAGGATGTAATGATATGAGATTAGGAAAAGGAAAATGAAGGTGTATACATCTTCAATTGAATTGAATTGAAAGAATACAAAACTTCTTCTTCTCCAATCCAGGGTGAATTATTAAATTGTGGAGCAGGATGCTTACTAGTAGAGAGTGTACATTTTAGCCTGCTCTTTTATTTAAAAGAGCTGTCTCAAAGTTGGGGGGGAGGGTGGTTTGCCCAAGACTGAATTCTGTTAAAGCTATGATGAATCACTCTTCCTTCTCTCAGCCCCTACCTCCCTCCACATGTGCACTTCATCTCTCTACATCTCTCTCCTGCTTTCTGCTGCTCTCTCCTCCTCTTCCTTCTTCCTTCCTCCTTCCTTCCTACTATTCCTTCCCCTCTTCCTTCACACCCTCCCTACCTGTTTCCCTTTCCATCTAATCCCTGTCCCCTTGTACCTCTTTATCTCTTTCCACCCCCTTCTTCTCTCTTTTCTTCTTCCTTCAGGAGTGTTTCCACATCTTTGTCCTTATTTCGTATGTTCCCAATGTTCTTTCCAAATCACAATCTTCTCAGACCTCTCTGTCTGTGTTATTAGAGTTCCTCAACAGTCTTTTTCTTCTTTCCTTCTGTCCATCTTTCCTCTTATGGGATGAGAGAAGATGGGGAGAATTATATATGTTATAATGTATGTCATGTTTCCATACTGTGATTTATGCAGTTATTATTTCATTTAACCTCTTTCTCAACATGGGGGAACAATCCCTTCTGTGAGGACAACAGTTCAACTGAACAATTTTAGGTGTAATCCATGAGGACAAAAGTATTCATGGAAGGGAGAGAAAAGAGTTATGAAGAATTGCTAGAAGACCTAATTTTTTTTTATTTTGGTTTTGTTAAAATACATGCTAGATAAATTGCTGGTTAGTATAATGGGGAATGACCTAAATCACGTGTTTTAAATGCAATGACTGCTAAAGACAGTGACAACAGAAAAATTGCTCATTGATTTAAAAAAGATGTCATGTGTGATCCCAGATTTTACATAAGATACTTGTTCCTAAAACTCCTGAATGAGAGGTGATAATCAAGCATCAGTCAATAAGAAGTATGTGTTTACAAACAAAAATTCATGTCTGACAAAAATGATAGCTCCTTGTAAGATGGAAATGACAAAATTAAGAGATGATTGGAGTGCTGCTAATGTAATGTACCACAAAATTTGATTACAGTCACTCTGGACACACTGAAACTATTTATGATTAACACAGTGAAAATCTAAAACTGTGGCTCTCCAGGATAATAAATTATAATTTAAATTGCAGTCAATCAGTCTGAGGCTGCATTGTGAGGAAAATTATTTTATACTTCAAGGAGATAACAAATACCTGAATTTAATACCACTTTTGATATGAAAATTTGTCACTGAAGAAGAATTACATTTCCTGAATAGAGATGTTACAACTGGCTTGAAGGCTTGCTCAGGAACCTTCAAACAGGATGAAAATTAGTTGTAATTTTTTGTCTAGAGTATCAGTGTAAGACCTTGCTTTATTTTGTATCTTTAATAATGACCTAGATCAATGGGATCCAGAAGTATTGTTATTAATATTATATTTGGCAAAGAAGGCAAAAATATCAATATTTCTGAAGAAAGCAAAATAAATTAAGCAATTTGCAAATGGGAAATACACAAATATGAAGAAATAATATTACTCATACTGGAGTATAATTATTTTCTTGATGTAATCACCACTACTACTAACTACTCTACAAAATGAAATAAAGATGGTATGCTGTAGATGGATTTGAAAATCCTTTGAGGGTTGAATACGGCTCTTTTGGATGCTTAGTTGGTGCTACTGCAGAAAGGCAATGATCCTTCCTAATACTATGCTTGTGGCACTTCACTGTCAGTCATATTCACAGTTTTGATTGACTCAGAGAAAAAATAGTGTTAATTTTCTCAAGAGAGTTTTGAAGGAAAATAAAAAAGAATAATACTTGAAAGTATACTTATTTATTCATAAAGATAAGTCACTTTTCAAACATGCTTAAGTAAGAAAGCTACTTTATTGAATTTTTGTAGATAATATCTCATGAAATTGACTCTCAGTAAAGTATTCTAGTGTATATGTAAACTCTGCAAATTTTAAGTTTTAGGAGTGTACAATGCTTCTTTTCAGGGTGGATGGTGAATTATTGTAATGGTTTTACTGGGATAGAGTTAAATTCCTTCACAGAAGCTTGTATGGGGTTGTGGTTTGGATTTGTGTGGAAAACAGTGTTGATAAAACAGGAATGTTTCTGCTCCTTCTAAGCAATGTTTACACAGAGTCAAGGCCTTCTTGGCCTGCAGAGCTACAAAGCAGTTCTGTGTGGGGATGTTCAGCTGGGTGTGAATGTCTGGTTTTGAAGGACTGCAGTAACTTGATAGTTATCTGATAGTTAAATACATGGAAGCTTGGATACAAGTTTTTAACCATTAACATGCAGTTGGGAAATTGTATTCCCTGTCCTTGAGGATCATCACAATTACCACATTACAGAATAATCTCCGATATTCAACGATAAGTGTTGCTCTTGGAATTGTTTGAATTTGAATGAGATGATTCTTGACTAAGCTAATTCTTTGTATCGTAGAGATGCTTCATCTCACTGTGGAGCACAGTGTTAACTTCATGGGAACACCTGCTTTGGATCCTGTGCTATCGATATTAAGTGTCAAAAATTTCAGATTGATATGGTCACGCTAGAATAGGCTAGCCATTGAGGGGAATCGAAAAGAAGAATAGGAGACTGAGGGCTTGACAGCCTCTCTGGAGCTGTATTTACTCTGTGAACATTCTCTTTAAAGTGTGTATACGAATACCTGTTTCACTTTCTAGGAAAATTTTATAGAATCATAGAATCTACTGGGTTGGAAAAGACCTCTGAGATCATCAAGTCCAACCCATGACCCAACACCACCGTGTCAACTAGACCATGGCACTAAATGCCACATCCAGTCTCTTCTTAAATACCTCCAGGGACAGTGACTCCACCACCTCCCCGGACAGCCCATTCTAATGTCTGATTACTCTCTCCTAAAAATATTT